ATTATGCCTTTGTTTTCTTGGTGGTGGTGTTCTTGGGTTTCACTTGGTGGGGAGAGAAAAGCCTCATGCTGATAATGTACTGAAAGTAAATGAAATTAAATAAGCGAAGCGGCGCTCATCACTACTTCCTCCCCCCTGGGTAATTCAATTCAAGCTCTGTCTCTGATGGCAACTCACAGGGGCTGTCTCTGTCACCCCGCTGGGGCCTGGAGTCTTAGCATCTAAATAAAAGTTTCACTCAAGCATTTTTTATGCTCCTGCCAGCAGGATCAGTGAGCTGGTGTGGGCACATTAATGTAATATTCATACACACAGACTCTCCCCGCACACGAGGCGATGTCTTTCCATTTTCATAATTATAAATGTTCCATAAAATGGCATTTAGATTTGCATTTTAAAAAAGGAGGTTTGAATTCTAATAAGACTCTTAACATGTCTTTTATGATTCAGACTTTAACAAGAAACTCTCTAAGTTTAACAAGACCTTAAAAAAGATGAAGAAACTTGTAGCAAGATGTGGCTTGGGGGATCCTGTCTCTCTCAGCCTGGTGTCTTTCATTTGAATTTGAGGCCTCCAGGAGCAGTTCTTTGAACAGTTAGTCAGAGAAAAACGTCCATCTGAGTGTTTTCCCTGTTGTCAGTCTTCACCTCACATGACCTCCCTCCCACCTGAAAAAGAATCAGCGTCAGTTCTTGGGGGGGTGTTTTCAGGGGGACTCGAATTTCAGGGCATGGGGGTGGTGGGGTAGAAAAGCTCTAGAAAAATGAACTTTCATTTGTTGTGGTTCATCTCAAGCATGTACCCCAAACCCCATCTGAAAGGATGGCCAGCCTGGTCTATATCATGAGTTCCAGACCAGCCAGGGTTATATAATAAGACCCTGTCTCAAAAACAAAGAAGGAGAAGCAGAGAGGGAGAGATGAAGGGAGAGATGAGAGGGGGGGAGAAAGGATAGAAGGAAAAGATTCTATGGACAAGGAAGTCGACAACAAGTCAATTGAATAAAAAAAAAAAAACAGATCACATAAAGCCAATAAAAGACTTCTGATTTATTTTTAGATGTGTTGTGTGTGTGTGTATATATGTGTGTGTATGTGTATGTGTGTGTACACGTACATGTGAGTACAGATGCATGTGGAAGCCACAAGCATCAGATTCCCCTGGATCTAAAATTATAGGCTGTTTGAAAAAAAAAAAAAAAAAAAGTTATAGGCTGTTGAAAGCTGCTGAACCTGGGTGCTGGGAAGCAAACTCTAGTCTTCTGTAAGAGCAGCACACATTCTTAGCCACCGTGCCATCTCTCTGATCTCCAGTCCATGTTTGTGGGTTTTTTAAAAGATTTTTATTTTTATTTTTATAAGTGTTTGCATGCATATATGTATGTGCCCCCCATAAGGGCCGGTACCTTCAGAGGCCAGAAGAGGGCATCAGAGGCCTTGGGATCAGAGTTGCAGTCTGAGTACTAGGAACCAAAACAAAAGTAGTGAGCAGTCTTAACCACGGAGCCATGGCTCCAGCCCTATGATCTATGTTTTAAAAACTGTGCTTGAGATAGCAAAATGGTCATCTTAATTGTGGGCTGTGTGTGTGTGTGTGTGTGTGTGTGTGTTGGGGATGCTGGGAATTGAACTTAGAGCTCACACATGCTAGGCAAGCACTCTACCACTGAGCTACATTTCTAGCTCAAAATATTTTATTTTTAAAAAAACAAAAAGCAAGTAAAGCACTGGGCAAAGCACTGCTGAATAGATGTTAGCTATTGCGAGGTCCAAAAATGACTGTTGGGCAGAAAAAGTGGTTTCACCCTTAAGTTTGAAGACACCACACAGTGGCCCAGTTGATTCATTTGTGGTTGTGCTTTATTTTGTTATGCAGATTTGACTTGTTTTTTTAGAGATTCATTTCAATTATGTGTATGTGTCAGGGAAGGGAAGTTTGTGGGTGTAAGTACAGATACCTAGAGGCCAGAAAAGGGTACCATCCTAAACCGAGTGTAACATCACACACCTTTAATCCCTGCCCCTGGGAGGCAGAGGCAGGCAGATCTCTGTGAGTTCAAAGCCAGCGTGGTCTCTAGAGCGAGTTCTAGGACATTAGAGGCCAGATTAAAAGCGTGCTCCAATACTGCCCAGCAATATAACACTTTTTTGAGATTATAATACAATTATGACATTTCTCCTATGCCTTTCTTCCCTTCAAATTCTCCCGCGTACCAGTTCCCACTCTCCTTCAAATGCATGGCCTCTTTTTTCACTGTTATTGCATTTGTGTATGTATATACATATGTAATCCTAAATATAACCTGTTCTGTCTGTATAATGTTACTTGTATGAATGTTTTCAGGGCTGACCATTTGATGTGTTCTTCCCTGGGGAGGCTGCCTCTCCCACTCCTAGCCTTCCTCAGTTACCTACCCTTTGTGTAGGGTTAAGGCCTTGTGGACTTTTCCCTGACCAGTTTGGCATGTCCACTGGTGTCATTCTTATTCAGCTCACATTTGGGGCAGTCATGTTGGTGAGACTTTATGTATGTAGTTTCTGACATTACTAGGAAACACAATTTCACAGCAAAGTCCCCGATCCTGCTCTTACAATCTTCCTGTCCCCTCTTCTGCAATGTCCGCTAAGCCTTAGGCGCAGGAGTGTTTTGTAGATGTACTCTCATTGGGACTGGGCTCCACAACTCTGAATTTTGATTAGTTGTGGTTTTCTGTAGTGGTCTCCACCTATTGCAAAGAGAAATTTCCTTGATAAGGAATGAGGACTACATTTATCTTTGGGATTAAGGACAAATGTTTACAGATTGCCATTAGGGATTATGTTGGTCTAGTAAATTAGAGGTTGTAAATTCTCCTCTGATAACCACGTCTTTACTAGGACTGAGTAGACAGCTAAGAATAAGTTCCCTCTTGTTGAACAGGTCCTATGTCCAAGTTGAGAACTGTTGGTTACTGCCAAAGTACATGTACCACTACTGCATCCGGAGGTTATTGTGCCTTTAAGGCCATCAGTCTGGTTCATAAGCATCATGGCTGAGTAGGACTGTCATTTGACTCCCTCCTTGGGAAGTTTCATTGTGTCGTCATAATTTTTTAAAGAAATATTTCTATTTATTCTTTAAAAATTGTATATGCAATGTATTTTCAATGATTTTCTTTATAAATCTTAAAATCAAACTGTTAAACACTTGGGTTGGAGGACTAAAAAGCAAATATTAAGCTTCTTTTAGCCCACTCTCTTCTGTGTGTCCTAATTCAGAAACGTAAAGTTGGGGCCAGTGAGATGGCTCTGTAGTCAAAGGTACTTGATGTAGAGTCTGACTCCCTGAGTTCAATCCCCAGGACTCCACATGGTGGAAGAGACTGACTAAACACACACACACACACACACACACACACACACACACACACACACACATTAATTAATTAAAATTTTAGGAATGTTTCAAAAAATGTCAAGTGGGGCCAGGGTTGTACCTTAGTAGTAGACCATACACTAGAGAAGAAAGGAGAGGACAGGAGACAGAAGAGAAGAGAAGAGGGAAATGCAGAGTTATGTTTTCCAGAACTTTTAGGGGAGCTAGACATAGTGGTCCATGCTTATAAGCATTCAGGGTGTGGAGACAGAAGGGTTGCATGATCCAGCACAGCTTAAATAAATAAATAAATGCTGCAGCTGTTGTTCTTTCTTGTTTTATTGTTGAGAAGTCGTTTCTTGCCTCCATGTTTTGCCCTCCTTTTCTATGAAGTAACCCCCAAGGCTGGAAGATGAATCAGGACCTTGGCATCTCAATAAATTTGTACCTAAGGAAGCTATTAAAAGCCAAGAATGTCACTGTCCTGCAGTTAAAGGTTGATGTCAGCCCCAAGGCCTTCTTTTTCTTGCTAAAGCTTCTATGATTCTTAGACACACACACACACACACACACACACACACACACACACACCATACTTTGAAAAACCCAAGATCTGGTGATTATTGCCAAATTCAGCCGGGCATTGGTGGCGCACGCCTTTAATCCCAGCACTTGGGAGGCAGAGGCAGGCAGATCTCTGTGAGTTTGAGACCAGCCTGGTCTACAAGAGCTAGTTCCAGGACAGCCTCCAAAGCCACAGAGAAACCCTGTCTCGGGAAAAAAAAAATTCACCTTACGTTGCCCTTCTTCGTGTGAGCTTCATAAAATTTATGTTCCCCAGAGAGACTGTCCATATGAAACAGGCTTGGGGCAATGGCTCAGTAGAAAAAGTGCAGACCAGAGTTTGCATCCCTAGTACCCGCATAAAAGCTGGACAAAGTAACACTAGCCTATAAGCCCAGCACTGGGGGTGTGGAGACAGTCACAGTCCCCAGAGTTCACCAGCCAGCCAGCATAGCCTATAGGTGAGCTCCAGGTTCAAAGAGAGACCCTGCCTCAAAAACTAAGGTGGAGAACAAGCAATAGAGGAAGACTCCCAGTTCAAACTCTGGCCTACAAACACACACTCCCACATATGTATGCATGCACCCAAACACACACACAGGCAAGCACAAATACACACACAAAAATAACAACAACAAAACCCACCGCGTGGCTATCTCTTTATTGTCCCTTGTGAAATGACTGCATGCAAAGTAGGGTCTATTACTCATTGAAGCTTGTCCTTCCTGGTTGCTATTCATCTGACTTTTGATTATCTCAGTGTGGATTACCCAATTTAGAGTTTATATCCACTGCAAATTCCTAATTCCCCAGAGTCCTTTTCCTGCCAATCAGTGCATATTTAGGCTACCTCCCCTTACCACGAGTTAATGTATGGTTAGTCATTTTAAGCAATATTAGCATTAGATATAATTAGGAAGAAAATTAACTTTTTCCCCTAATCATATAGAAATTGTTGTATTTTGTGTTATGTTTCAACAATTACCCTTCTAGACTCCATCATTAATGTGAATAATCTAAAGTAGCTTAAGAGGAAATTCTATCAGGTTTAAACAAAACATTTTACTGTCATTCCTTTTAGGCGTGGAAAACATCTTAAGAGGGGCTCAGGAGCTGGATACCATCATCAAGCAAGGATACCTGGAGAAGAAAAGCAAAGGTATTAATTGGACCCATGAAGAGTGGATCATTCCAGGGGAGGGAGGGAGAGAGGAAAGAAGGGAGGGAGATCTTGCTAGACTATAGGATGTTTTCCCAGGGCCCAGTACTGTGCTAAGCCCAGATAAGGCAAAAAGCCAGAAAATGAAGGAAGTGTGGTATTAGTGTGTGTAACTAAACAGAGCAGGCCCAAATCTTCAGCAAACTGTGGGCTTCATTAGGATTGGTTCTAACCCAGTTGTGGCATCTTTAACTAGCACGTGGGAGGCAGAGACAAGCAGATCTTCATGAGTGGATGGATGGATGGATGGATGATATTCTTGTCCTCGTCTCTCAGTGTACTACCCATAAAGAGTGACACTGTAGCCAGAGGGTGGTGTTGGCACACACCTTTAATCTCAGCACTTGGGAGGCAGAGACAGATGGGTCTCTGGATTCAAGGCCAGCCTGGTCTACAGAGTGAGTTCCGGGATAGCCAGGACTACACAGAGAAACCTGGTCTTGAAAAAGAAAAGAAAGTAGCCTACTTCCAGATTTCAGACATACCCAATTCTTGACCCTTTAAATCATTCAATTAAAATAGGTACTACAAGGGTCAGAATCCTTGTTTCAATGCTCAACAAGCAAATTGGTTTACCACACATTCTCAGAAAGAAGAAGAACAAGAAAGTCCTTCTCCTGGCCATGGCCTGGAGGACATGGAGTATCATTTTGGTTCACGGAAAGCAACACATAAGGAAATGATGCTAGTTGGGTATAATGATGTTTGCCTATAATCCCAGCACTAGAGAGGTGGAGGCAAGAGGATAGCCATAGGTTTCAGGCTGGCCTGGATTACCCAGGGAGACTCTGTCTCTAAAATACAAACAAAGATGTCGTAGGAAGTTTGAACAATGCAGGGTAAGATTTGATCCTAAGGGATAGAAAGCAAGCTAGATGAAAAGATAGCCATGAAAGCAGAGGGGCAACCTTACTAAGAACGGGGGCCTGTGATGGAGTTCATCCTCGCCACTCAGTCAATATGGGATAACCTGTGGGAGTGAAAAGGAGGGTTTTACAGTCCATTAACCTGGGAAATAAAACAATAACCCACTCGACTGTGTTGTTGGATTTTACAGACTCTTGGGCGATTCTAGTTACCTGGATTTATGTCTCTTCTCTCTCCTCCACGTAGATCACAGCTTCTTTGGGTCAGAGTGGCAGAAGCGATGGTGTGTTGTCAGCAGAGGCCTCTTCCTCTACTATGCGAACGAGAAAAGTAAGTGTTCTCCACTTACTCGGCAGCACCCTCACTCCTGGATGCCAGAACTGCGATCTCTAGATAGCAGACCTTAACTAACACCCATAGAGCAAGAAGCTTAGCAAAGAAACAGACTTGGGTAACTAACGCCTTGCCCACCATCAAAAACACAGACCAGTTTAGCACTTTTTTCCTCTTTAAACACAAAGTGTGCTCAATATATGGATGGGTTATGGTCTATTGTGACTTACTACACAATACTATCGGAGTTGAATGGTTAAGCATTCTTTAAATAAATAAATAAATAAATAAATAAATAAATAGGCTGGAGAAATGGCTCACTGAATAAAATGCTTGCTGCATAAGCATGAGGACTTGAGTTCAAATCCCCAGAGCCCATGTAAAGCTAATGGTGGTCATACAGGTCTGTAACCCCAGTGCTTTCACAGTGAGACGGGAAGCAGAAGTTATAGTGAGATGAAAGTCAGAAAATACAAGGATCTGAGAGGAAAAACCAGGAGAATCCCCCAGAACCCTTAGACCTGCTGGCCTCGAGCACACAGCAGCAAACAAGAAACCCTTTCTCAAGCAGGTGGAAGACAAGAACCATCACCAAAAGCATGCTCTAACCTCCTTGTGTGCACTGTGGCTTGCATGCACCTGCACTCACAAACAGGACCACACGCACACATTCATGTGCAAGTGAGAACACACACACAGAGAGAGAGAGAGAGAGAGAGAGAGAGAGAGAGATGTTAAAACAAACAGCAACAACAACAACAGCAAGAAAAAAAATTAAGATGTCAAGCATGATAGCACACTCCTGCAGTCCCAACTGAGGCATGAGGATCACAAGAGTATCACATGTTCAATCCTAGCCTGAGCTATGTAGCAAGAGCCTGTTTCCAAAGCCAAGAACTGGAGATATAGCTCAGTGGTAGAGCACTTACCCAGTGTACTCAAGGCCCTGAATCAAATTCCTAGCACCACACACAAAATAATAACAATAATATAATAATAATAATTCTGAGAAAAATTTAAGCAGTGTTTAACAATATCCCAGAAATATAACCTTAGGGTTCAAACTCTTTAAGAACATATTCATAACTCTTGGGAAATAATAACCCAGTGGACATTCCTGGAGCCAGAGTGTTGAGGCCTAAAGAGTTGTACCCAGGAGACACCCTTCAGCCAGATGTCAGCAGTAACAGCCAAGTGTTGACTCAGAGGCAGTTTCTTAATGAGCCACCAAGTGCTAACGACCTCTCATCCACATTGAACACAGTTGCTTAGTCCCAGAGAGGGAAGAGAGGGTTTAAGCACAATTGGTGAGAACTACAAATAAATACAAGTTCAAAGTTATTACTGTAGGCCTGGTGGTGGTGGTACACACCTGTAATCCCAGCAATTGGAAGGTAGAGGCAGGCAGATCTCTGTTAATTCAAGGCCAACCTGATCTACAAAGCAAATTCTAGAGCTGTTACACAGAGAAACCCTGTCTCAAAAAAAGAAAAAGAAAAAAAAAGCCAACTCCCAGGGAGGGGATACCATTCTGCAGATTGGAATCAAGAGGGAGAGGAGATGAAGTTCTCAAAGGGGCTACCTTGGACTCGCCCACCTCCATGCAGAAACCAGAGGTAGTTCTACAAAGAAGATCTTAGATTTGCCTTCCAGTTATACACCGTTTGCCCTCCCTTCCTTTCTAAACTGTATTCTCCTGATGCCTGGACACCTAGCCTGAGAACAGTCTCCCAGCATCTTTAGTCCAACCATGGCAGAATGAACCACAGTTTTGCCAGTGACCTGGAATCCTTAGGATTTGTTGGTTTTGTAGCAACTGCCTCACTCTGTCCCTCCTCCTGAAGCAGTGTCACTGATCTCACCTTTGGACCATCGAGGAATCCTCAGAATTTTTCCCACTCAGGGGTAGTTGGAGTTAATGGCAGCCTGCTAGTGACCTTCCAACCCGCAGCCCACTTGCAAGTTCAGCAAGTGTGCATTCTCCTCTGAATTCTAGGCCTCGGGCTTGGAGGTACAGCTTAATTGGTAGATGCTTGCCTAGCATGCATGAAGCTCTGGGTTCGGTCCTCAGCACTGCATAAAACCAGTGTGATGGTGCATGCCTGTGATCTTGGTGCTCAGAAGGTAGAGTCTGGAGGATCTGGAGTTCAAGGCCATCCTCAACTGTGTAGGGAGTTAAAGGCTAGCCTGGGCTATATGAGACTCTGTCTCAAAAACTTGGCTAATTAATTAGTTAATTCTAGGCCTACAAGACAGACAGTCACCCCATGCTTCAAACTGGTATGATATCTGGACCACTGTAAAACTGTCCATCATTTCTCTTGCATTTAAATAAGTGGTCGGAAAGCTGGAAAAAAGGTCTCCATGGTTAAGAGCACTTATTGCTCTTGCAAAGGACCCAAGTTCAGTTCCTAGCATCCATGCAGGGTCGCATAGCCATCTGTAACTCCATTTCCAAGAGATCTGAAACCCTCATCTGTCCTCTGAAGACACCACACATGCTCATGGTACACATATATACATGCAAGCTAAACACCCATACACAGGGAATAAAAATAAATAAATGTCTTTAAAAAATGATAAGTGTAATAAGCTTGTTCCTAATTTGAACTAATAAAAAATGATAAGTGTTGGCATATCTGGGTATAAAGCCAAGTCTGTTCATTCAGAACTCAGGTCTTACGAGGTGGGGGGAATGGAGAGAGAGCAAGAGGCTAGGAGACTTTTATTGACCATTTTGCTGTCAGGGTGAAATAAAATCTGGCGACCAAAGAAGCAACAAAACATTTTAGTGGCCAGTTAGAACAAGGAGGGATACTTTAGCAAAAAAGATTCTGGTGTCAAAAAGCACTGTTGCATGGCTCCCCTCTCGCCAGTTACTCCTTATTGTGCCCAGGACATTTTCTCCGTGGGTATAGTGTTTGTGTGTTTCTTTTAGCTCAATCAGGTAAAAATAGAACCTCTCCCCCTCCCTCCCTCTCTGTCTCCTTCTCTTCCCCCCTCTCCCCCTCCCTTCCTCCCTTCTCTCCCCATCCATTTCTGCCCCTCCTTCTCTCTCTCTCTCTCTCTCTCTCTCTCTCTCTCTCTCTCTCTCTCTCTCTCTCTCTCTCTCTACCCTCTCTCTCTCTCTCTCTCTCTCTCTCTCTCTCTCTCTCTCTCTCTCTCTCTCTCTCTCTCTCTCTCCTTCAATTGCCACCATCATCCAAAGGCATCTGAGGCCACAGGTTCAGTCTTTAGCACTGGATGGGGTGAGGGAAAGATTCAACTCCAATTCACTCCACTTGGCTCCACTTGGCAGAGGGCTCCGTCCTCACCCCTCTGCATGTTCTGTCTGAACCACAGAACACAGGCACAGCCTCTCTCGGGGAAATAGGGAAGAGTCCGATATTGTATTTGTTTAGAACAGAGATGACCCGCAGAGTGGCATCTCTTTTCCTTCATTTGGGGTCCCTTTCTCTTTGTCACCTTCCTCCTCCTCTCATGAGACCCTTCTTGGCTACTTTCCCCATTTACCTCTTGGAAGAGGATCCGATGCTGAGTTTGAATTATTCTTCCTCTAGCATAAATTCCCACCTGGCCCGCAGGGGAAGGATGAGCATTTGAGGTAGGGTATGGAAGGAGATTCAGGGGCTTGAGGATAACCTTCTGTGATGCTCTGCCCCTCCTTGAACGTGAGCTCTGCTGGCCCTGATAATAATGTTTGGGCTCTGTAATAGCTTTCAAGAGCCTCACGTTTACAGCCACTCTCCCAGCTGTAATAACTCCTGCTCTCTGTTATTATAGATCTCTTAACATTCTAATAAATTCTCCGTCTCTCTTGGACACTTTTGGTAAAATAACCTTTCATGTTGGATTCTCCTTGCTTGGTGCTGATCTGTCTGACGATGGCCATAACCTCTTCCCAGGTGTCCCTAAGAACCTTTCTTAGACAATTGTGGTTCCTCGGGGATGTAACAGCTGTTTGGTGCTTTTTATTTCCCTTACCAGAGAAGATGCCTTCCCTTCACTGTTGTGTCTCTCTGGAGATACAGGGAGCTTTGCTATTTTGCAGGCAAGCAGCCTAAAGGGACCTTCCTCATTAAAGGCTACAGTGTCCGGATGGCTCCCCACCTTCGAAAAGACTCCAAGAAAGAATCCTGCTTTGAACTGACTTCCCAGGATAGGCGCAGCTATGAGGTAGGGCGGCCTGGTGATCCTTATTAGCTTTGCATTTTCCTTGCTGTTGCATGTGAGCCATGGACACTGGTCATTCTGCTGGATCCTGTCCTGTGTGATATCCGCTCGTGTCTCACCAGCTAAGACCTGCTGTCCTGCTCCACCCTTTGCTGTGTCATGCTCCCCTCTCATCTGCTGCTAAGTTCACCCCTCGCCTATCTTCCCAGTAGCATCCCACAGGTGAGATTCTTGGTTATTACAACCCACAGTCCAATTCCTTGCTCACAGGCTGATTTCACCACTGAAGTTCCCATTCTCTCTGTTTTCCAACTGGTCAACCTATGTCCTTCCCTGAAACCCAAAATAAGCAACAGAATGAAAAATAACTTTTTCTGTGTTTGCCTTTCTGTCTAAAACCTCCCCTCTGGGCGTGGATATGCTATGTCTCTAGAAGAATTACCCAGCCCTTAATGGCAATGGTTTCAGAGCAGAAATAGTGAAGTCTGGCCTTGTCAATGAGAAACTTATTCCTCATTATGGTAATTTTATATATTTTTGAATATTCACTACTCCTTTTTAAAACTATGTCAGAGTGAATATATTGATATTCATCAAGTATGTATTTTACATATATGTGTATATTGTCTTGCAGATAATCTTTAATTTATCACATCTTCACCAAAGTTATGTAACTGAACTTTAGCTACCTTAGAAAAAAAGAAAAAACATACAAAAATTAAGTTAACAATTCTGTATTCTCAAATTTTCCTCCATACTCAACTTTTTGCCCTTGATAGTGTCTTGACAATAATTTGATAAAATGATTTATGTCTTCATTATGCAATATCCAGATGTTTTAAAGTTTAACTTAAACTTTATGTAACAGATGTATGCACTCAGCATGTTTCTAAGTTACTATTATTATTAAATTATAATATTACTAATTCCAGATCAAAGCTTATGTGAAAAGTTCAAACAATATCCCTAGAAACACTTTCTAGAACTGTGTGTTTTTTCAGAAACTACGACAATCCTCGAGAGATGATTCAGATGACTCAAGGTTGTTACACAACCAGGAAAAGCTGAGTTCAAATCCAGAACCCATGTAACAAGCCAGATGTGGTCTCATGCACTCCTTTAAGACTAGAACCATGGGGGATAGAGAGAGACCCAAGGATTTCTGGGGCCTGCTGAGTGCCAGCCTAACCAAAAAACACGAGCCCAAAGTTCAAGGAGAGACTCTGCCTCAAAGGAATAATGTTGAAAGTTATAGAGGAGAACATCAATGCCCTCTGGCTTCTGTGTGTATACAAAGAGTATGCATACTTGCTTGCACACACACACACACACAATGATAATGAACCTGTATTTCTTATGCAGCATGTGCTTTTATCGAACCCTAATGGCCATAGAATTAAAATGTTCTTTCATTTCAAGTTGATTTGTTTTAAAAATTGCAAAGGGTTGGTGCTTGGCTACTCAATTTTGTGAATCAGAATGTGGACTGTTTGCTTGCCTGTCTTTCACCCAGTGAATCTAAACCATCACTCTGAGCCGTGGATTCTTCCTTTGGTCCTTTCTTCCTCTCTTTATTTATTCCCACGGCCATCACAGTAGCTAACTCCCTATCACTTCACCCAGAGGGCTCTTAAACAGCTTCCTAATTGGTCTTCAGTCTCCAGATATCCCTAGTCCAATCCTTCCTAGCCACAGCTACTGATAGAATCACCCACACTCTTTGCTAGATCTGACAGTGGCTTCCTGTTGCCTACATTTTATGTCTAGGCAGACTCCTCCTGCCTGACCCTCTGTTCTCACCTGTACGTGTTCTCCAGTCCACCTGACCTGCTTGTAGTCGTTCATGCGATGTTCTCTCTGCTCACATGGTTCCCATGGCTGAAGTGTTCAGCTCCCTCCATTCCTTTCCATCAATTCTCTTAAAAAACAACCAAAACAACATTACTTCAGCAATCCACTGTCCCCCAAGCCTGCTCTAAGCAAAAATAAGTGCTCCCTGCCTCTTCCCAACATCCTGCTGTGGAATAGGAGTACTCAACTTTGCATGCACAAGGCCTCTAGTATCAGCCCTGACACTGAAACACAAATCCCCTTACTGTCAAAGACCCTTCCCTTGTAGTATTCCCATCTCGTGTCCATGTTGATTTGCTTTTTTCCCCCATAAACTTTTCTCCCATGAATCTCTGATGAAAAAGTAATCAAATGAGCGGATATACAAGAACATAAGCATCCAGACTTAAAGCTGTCCTCCTTGGTGTGTAACTTTGCTGAAGGCATTAAGTAAGCAGCTGTGTGAGATGTTTTGGTCTTTTTTTTTTTTTCTAAATGGCAAAGAGATGGAGAATCCTAAGCTTCATGCTCGGTTCTGAAACCCAGAATCCTTTGAGTCTATTTAGCAGGAGTCATAGCAGTTTTAGTGAAGGTGGTGGCTAAATTAATCCCCTCGTTCTTCTCTAGTTTACAGCTCTTAGTCCAGCTGAAGCCAGAGACTGGGTGGATCAAATAAGTTTCTTGTTAAAAGGTAAGAGCTATCATTTCAAATACATATGCTACATGAGTGGATTTGCAGCTGAAGTTCTGTTTTGAAAGTTTAATCTATAGGTGCCCATATGTGTTCTTCTTCCTGACCCTCTATTCTCTCCTACCCCATACTGCCCTTATTTATAACAACAAATGATACCATATATGAACGAGAAGGCAAGGCAGTGACCCACCTGGAGATCCCCTCTGATGTCATTGCTTACCCGATGAGGCCATGCAGACAAGCCTATAATACTAGTCATCGTGTGGAAAAGATTCTGAAAGCCAGTTTTTAGCTCAAGTCACTGTCCCCCAACCCCTTTTATTCATAAGGAAGGGTAATTCATAATAACCATCATCTAATTGAGATCCAAAACCCTCCCTCTCCTCTCCTCCTCTTTTTAGTTTTGTTTTTGTCCTAGTTTTGTCCTAGACTCATCTTGGTGGGCATCAGGGACACTGGACATTAAAACGAAATTGCTGTTTCCCAAGCCACAGTAAAACATTCCTTGCCTTGGGATGGCAAGAGTCCTGCCTGATGAGGTTAAACAGCTGTTCTTAGAATACCCTCTACCAGCCAGCCTGCAGGCCTGGTGCAGCAGCCACAATGGCCCAGGAAGCTTTGCCTGGGAGTGGCCTAGCAGGTAGATTTGGCCAAAGAGGATGCTCATAGGCCATCCTAGCTAAACCCTGCCAGGGCAAAACATAAGAACACCAACTTTGTGCATGGCCCAGGACAGAGGTGCACAGCCACCTAAAATCACCAAGCTTTCTCATCACGGTTTATTATTCTGCAGTAAGATTTTATTGTGGATTAAAAAGCAGGAAGCAGTGGAGCCTTAATTACAAGAATTGCCTCTTTTTCTCACTTATACCTCTGCTGTCACAAAAACAAACTGTGGTGAGCACCGACAGCATCTCCTATAATAGACTGGAACTAGGCAAACATGAGCATTGATGGTGAGGCTACAGGGTACACTCTCATCTAGGTGCCTAGGATTTATGCGTGTAATATACCCCTAAGTGTGTAAACCTCCATAAAACCCAAAGCAGCTTTATTGAGCTGTACCCTGTGGTACCTTCAGAATCTCACATTGAAGAAATTATTCATTCCATTTTACTTTAAAACAAACAAAATAATAACATATGGTTGAAGCCGCAAATGTGCCTTTGATCCTTTCCCCATATGAAGTCACCAGAATTCAGATGAAATTTGTTGGGAAATCTTTATTAAAAGCCTAATCAAGCCAAACAGTTTTATTGTGTTTTGAAATAAACTGCTCAAGTCTCTCCATCCTCCCCTTCCCCAGAGTACACTCACTGTGCTCATGGGTCCTGCAGGGGCCCCTCGGTGGGGGCTTCCAGGAGCACACCAAGGCAGAGAATGAGCTTAACCCCCCACCCCTGCCAGAATTGAAACCAATCTTCCTCCCTGCCCTGGCGCTCACCAGCGCTGTAATGGCTGAATGTCCTCTACTCAGTGACCCAATTTAAGGTCAGCCAGGCCATAAAAGGACATAGTAACTGTGCTGTTTAGCCATTCCATTTGGTCGCATGACAGTGGTGTTTTTCCACACCCCCCATTTTTTTTCTCCTGCTGCTTTCTCCCTGTTTTTCTTCCCTCTCCACAAACAAATTTGTCTGAATTCTACAATGAGACCATCGGGAGAAGAGCTTCCAAGAGCTCAGGCTCCACCATAGTGGCCCTGGCTCTGTCACCTTCGAGAACTCGGGGCCATCACTCACGCATTGGTTTTCTGCTTGATGAACAGAGCATAGCACCCTGGCAGTGCCTCATCCGGCCTCTTTTCTTTCCTTCACCTTGTGTTTTCATTCACACACCCATACTTTCCAGGCCTCTTCATTCTGACCAAGTTTTATTGCCAGAGACGATTTATGTTGGTGGCTTAAACCTGATGCAGTCCCGGGCTGGCCTCTTCTGTAGATTCCTGCCACCGAGGCCTGTCTTAGAAATAACCGCACTTAGCCTAGCATTTCATTTTCTTCTGACACGTTTTACTCTCATCCCCCCTCTCTGCACCCAGCCTCGTTCCTTTTTTTTTTCTTTCTACCTTTACTCATTCTTATCTTTGCCTTGGCAGATCTGAGCTCCTCAACCATTCCCTGTGAAGAGGAAGAGGAAGAGGAGGAGGAAGAGGAGAAAGAGGAAGAAACATACGATGACATTGATGGCTTTGACTCCCCAAAGTCTGGTTCCCAGTGCAGAGCCAAGACCTTGCCTGAGCCTACAGATGAAGAAGAGGACATTTATGAAGTCCTGCCAGGTGAAATATTTTCATCTCCTAATTACCCACCTCCCCCTATTTTCAAAAACTCTTGACCTGGTGGAAGAATGAGACAGTTCCCCAAAAAAGTCTGCAGAGGACAGTGTAGGAAGTTCATGACTCCCTGTAGAGTGGCTCTGCCTTGCTCTGGGAGCAAGATGAAGCCCACCAAGGTGTCTTTCATCTGTGCCACATGAAGTCATCTGTTCCTGTGCCTCTAAGGTTAAAGGCCAGAGAACACTCCCTCTGGTTTTCATTGGTTTACCATGAGTTTGGGGGTGAATTATCATAACTCTCTTGTTGTCACTTATTTTCTGTAGGATCAAGAGAAGGACAAAAAGTTGTCTCAAAGGTACAGAGGCTTTAAAAAGTCTGAATTATACAAATGCCAACAAACCATTTTAGTGATACAGTAAAACTCTGATAGAACACAACTCATTCTTGTCCAAAACCAAAATATCACCTGAGAATAAACCAACCCCGCTTGCCTCCGCCACTGTGGCAGGAGGTCTCTCGATGGAGCCCTTGCACCCCACCCCCGCTTGCCTCCGCCACTGTGGCAGGAGGTCTCTCGATGGAGCCCTTGCCTTCAGAAGGCAGGCTCACTAGCATCTCAGAAAACGCACAGTCATCTCTGCTTCCACGGAGCCACTTCTGGTGGGGATCCAGCAGCTGGTGAACAGTGCAGAGCACAGTGGGGGTCAGACTGGAAAACCAAAGCCTGAGCCTTTTAATTGTGAGGTACTTAGACAATGGGGAAGCTGAATCTTCAAGTCCATTCAGAAAGCGCTGCGATGGAAATTTGCCAGGAGTTTAGTGCTCTGCTAAGAAATTCAAATTAAGCCAAAATTTATAGCAATGGAAACCTGCATCCCAGATGAACCTAGGAACTAAGGTGAATCTAACACTTAGGCCCCTGAAGACAGGGTCCCGTGCTAAAAGCATCATCAGTAAATAATTACATTTCAAGGCTCCCTAAGAAGAGGGTCCAACCATCTTAAGTAGGCGTACCCTATTTGTCTCTTGCCTGAAAGAGAAGCCACGTCATTGCCCCCAGTCAAGATGCAAGGCTGTGTCCACACAACCCCACCTAGGAGAGTCCACTCCTTCCCCTTGCTCCTGCAGGGAGCAAGAAGACTTGCCTCTGCCAGTCTCTGCTTCCCCAGCCTTTTTTGTTGTGTTTTATTATGCAAATGATATCTTGGTTGAGGTCGAGCCATTTCTTGTGTCTGAAGTTAAAAAAAAAAAAAAAAAAGATGATAATTTCCTCAGCAAGTCATCGTCGTTAATGAAGTTTTACAAAAACAGATACAACCAAAGGAAAATAAAATTTCACAGGTGATAAATTTTTCCAATTTCCCTGGCAGAATTCGATAGGATTGTTAAATTAAGAGTGAAGGTGTCTGTTAGAAAGCAACGAGCAGTGATGGGTAATTTTATAGAGTGGAAAATTGAATCAAATTGCTACATTAAAACACAGCTCCTCTGAGAATCCTCCCTTTCACAGCCTGTGCCATTGCAACAGCAGGGTGCAGAGACGATCTAATTCACCACACTCCCTAAAAGGAGATGCACTCTCCAACTTGGCCAGCGTCTTCCCAGTGAGTTTACATTCAGCTCACTCCTGCCTGGGCTCTGGGACAGATCCAGGTGAGGCTCCACCTTAGGTTCCAACTGGGGAAGAGTGTTTGGGGACACCGCCCTGGACCACTCTGCCTTCTGGCGTGCAAAGGAGATGTGTGTAGTGTTCAAAGAAGCCAGGAAGGGTGGAGCTGATGCCCAAGGATGGAGAGCAGAGGGAAAGAGGCCTCAGAAAACAGGATGAGTTTGAGGCCATCACCTTATTCTGGGACAAGGAGTATTCAGGGACAAGGAGTGTTCCACTGGCTTCTCAGTGGTACAAGCTTCTCCTGCCTCCTGAATGCCCACCCTCTGCTGGGGTCTGGGGAACCCCTCCAAACCTCTCACTGCTTATATAAAGAATGGACCCAAGGGCATGGAGGTTTGTCCACCTTCTCAACCCTGTGCCCACAGCTATCCACAGAAAGTGAGGCAGCCATACTATAAAAAAGCCAGGATCAAATCAGGCAGTGATGGCACATGCCTTTAATCCCAGCACTGGAGAAGCAGAAGCAGGTGGATCTCTGTGAGTTTGAGGCCAGCCTGGTCTACAGAGTGAGTTCCAGGACAGCCAAAGCTACAGAGAAACCCTGTCTTGAAAAACAAAAAAGAAAGGAAGGATGGAAAGAAGGAAGGGAGGGAGGGAGGGAGGGAGGGAGGAAAGGAGGGAGGGAGGGAGGAAGGGAGGAAGGAAGGAAGGAAGGAAGGAAGGAAGGAAGGAAGGAAGGGAGGGAGGGAGGAAGGAAGGAAGGCAGGCAGGCCAGGTTCTCTGGCTGCAGGTTAAAAGGACAGCAGCTACCTTGCCTGTGCTTCTAATAAACAAAAGCCAAAATCCACCACAGTTCTTACAGACAGCATGAGGGGTGGGGGTGGGGTATAGAGGCCTTTAATTGTCATGTGATTATTCCAGTCCTGTGTCTCCATCATCCAAGCTTTCTAGCACTCCACGATTGTAGCTTCTGAAATTGCTGTGTGAGTTTTGCATCTGTCACACTACAGTCCTCAAGAGAAGGAATGTGAGGGGCCTAGCATCATCTTCCCACCCCACCCCCACCCACTCCCCTCCGTGCCAGCCACCACCTACTGAAAATCAGCCTGTGGGGGGACAGCTAGAGGCAACTGGCACAAAGCTGGCTGTAAGTCAGAGTGGATCTGCACTGGCACCTGCTAGCTGGGAGAACTTGAGCAGGCTCCTTGCCGTCTCTGTCCATGGGAAAATGGGAAAAGCAATGCAGCATCCTAGAGGGTTTTGGGGGGCATGGAGCCTGAAAATCCTGAGTGTGCACTCAGCGCAGAGCACTGGCATAGGCAGAGCAAGCAAATGCTGGTAGCATTCACCTGGTGGTGTGCAATAGGAAATATTACTTCCTCAAAAAGTTAGGGGATGGATAGGTCCTGCCCTCCCCAGCCAGACCCAAATGCACGGTCCAGTTAGGCATTTGCGACTTTGTGTATGGAGCATATGTGAATCTGAAAATCCGAACAGATGGAATGTGGAGAGCGCCTTCTGCTCAGGCCCTTGTTTTCCTTCCTACCAAGAGGCCAGGTGCTGGGTGGAGGGGCAGCCAACAGCAGCACTGGATTGTGCTAGCACTGCATACCACGTCCGATAGTCAAATGGATCGGCTCTCTAGCGTGTTGGTTTCGCTACAGCAGGTGAACAAGCTTTGTGAAGGATTTTTAGTGTTGGCAGGTCTGCTGACCCTGCTCTTTGGGGGAGGGCCCTATGCAAGTCCTCACTGTGGCTGTGAGGAAAGGCTTGTTAAGTGAGGCTTCCCTTCCCACGTGTAATTTAAATGGGCTTCTAGAAGAGTGAAAAGAATACACAACATATACCAGGTCAATAAAAAATTCACCTAACCAAAATAATGTCTGGGTCATCAACTTAAATGCACAACATCACATTAATCATGCCATAATTGGCATTGGCCACATGGCTAGCACTCTTGTCTCCAGGAGAGAAAAACAAAGCACTCAAGGTTTTCAGCCAGACCACAAAAAAATGTTAGTCCTGGAAAATATGGCTTCAAAGCTGGTAACCACTGGGATTTCTGAACATTCCTACTGAGCATATGGGGACCCTTGAGTTTTAAGATTTCATTTTTAGTAGATCAAACTACAGAGAATGACCAAGAAGTATGAAAGCCAAATGCTAAAATGAGGCTTTGGGCTGGAGAAGTGGCTCAGTGGTTAAGAGCACCTGCTGCTCTTCCAGAGGACTGGCCTCAGGCCCCAGCATCCACATTGGACAGCTGACAACTCCAGCTCCAGAGGGTTTTGTGCCCTCTTCTGGCCTCCATAGGAACCTGCATTTGCTTGACAGACACACACACACACACACACACACACACACACACACACACACACACACACACTCACACAAAAAAATAAATAAATAAATAAATAAATATGAAAATGAATCTTTAAAAAAAACAGATTTTCCTAGACCTTTTTTCATCTTCTTTGGAGTCGTTCTGCAGGCCAGCACAGGCCCAGATCCACAATTCAAGGTGCCATATAAGGACATCTTTTATCAGGTCCTGCATTGTCTGGAGCCGCAAGGCTAGAAGCCAGTAAGGCATCTAAGACCATAAGAGAGCTGTTACTGGGGCCTTGTATTAGCTATAATGGCAGCAGGATCCAGCTGTGTTCTCTAGAGAGTCCCCAAAAAACAAACAGAAAGAGACAAAGAGGCCTTTCTGGAAATCTCTGTGCACATTCTGAAGTTACCCACACTGCCCCAGAGGGTTGTTACAGACCCAGAAACCAGATTGCTTTATGATAAAGCATATAACTGTGTTTTTTTTTTTAATTAGAGTAAAATGGAAACAACATTCTGTGGGATTATCTTTCCCCTGTATAAGTTGTCTGGGCACACAACAAAAAGAAATGGTGACAGAAATCTAAAGGAAGAAAAAATACAAAACAAACCAAGCCCAAAACACAAAACGTATGAATCAGTTCCATTCCTAGCCTCCTCCAAGCCTCCTGGCCTCTTGTCTTCCTCATCCTGCTCACTTGTCTCTGTCTATCTGTCTGTCTGTCTACATTCTGAGCAATAGCCATGGGGTACTGCTGGGCCAGCAGCAGCTAAAACCATGTTGTTTCTTCTATCTAGCATGTCCCCCAATGTCTGCTCAGATGTGACATCCTCAGGTGTGACATCCTCTCAGACTCCACTGAAATTAAGCTCTGTCTCTGATCATGCTGACTTATATTCATGTCCTTCTCCCCAGTTAGTAGGTACTCAGTTACTACTTCTAGAATTGAATTCTATGTGTTCCAAGTGTTGCTATTAGCACAAATTGAGTTTAAAACTTATACATCGACCATACCATGGAGACAGGATGGAAGTGTTGAGAGGTAGCCATTGAGATTACCCAATACACAGCAGAGAGTAAATGTGTTCTTAGCCTCTTGCTCATATGTTCTATTGTTGTCTAGAGCTGCTGTATCATGCAAGGGTCTATAGCTTGTCTGGGCATGCCAGCGACTGGTTTATTTCTATTTTTCTAGACCCTTTGCACATCAAGCCTCCCTGTATTTCTCTTGCAGCTGTCACCACAGCATCTTGACATCTGGCTGCATGTTAATACGCTTAGCATTTTTTTTAAGTTTTTTGTTTGGAGAAAATACTTTTCCCTCTTTTTGATGTGATCACACACACACACACACACACCCGTCCGTTCTTTCTGGCATCAGTTTAGTCAATGTCAGGGGTGGGTGGCAGAGCCACACTTCAAAAAGGACTCAGGTGTCAGAGGCAGCTAGCACCTCTCTGTCCCTCCTAGGTGGATTCTGTGTCCTGTTCCTCTCAGCCTCTCATTAGTGTCCCTGACACTGTGCCAAGAATGTTGATTGAAATTGACTCTCCGGATCCTGATGCTCATTTGTGATGCCCCATGGTTCCCTCACATGCTCACACAGTTAACAGAATCTTCTTCAACTGTTTTCCCAATTGAGATGAGATATTTGGGAATCAAGTAGAGCATTTAATGTAATAAGTGGGCAGTAATCTTCAGAGGTTAATTTGTTTAAAGCCTGTGTAAGATTGGGGTCCCATATGCCCTGTTAGGAGCAAGAACCATTATAATCTATTACTGTTTAAAGTTGAGCTAGCACATAAATTTTAATTCTCTCTTAAATGAAGATGTATTTCCATAGATGTAATGCTAAAATGCCTAGTAATATTCTTATAAGGAAGTCCAATGAGCTCTTTAACCTAAAATATATATATATATATATGTGTGTGTGTGTGTGTGTGTGTATGTGTGTGTGTGTGTGTGTGTGTGTTTTCTCAAAATGGTCTTTTAAAATGAAAATCTCAGGCCAACAAGATGCCCCAGTAGGTAGAGGCCTGTCTCCCAAGCCATATGACCCACATGGTAGAAGAAGAGAAGTAACTCTCTCAAGTTATCCTGTGACAGCCACACATACAACCTGATGCAGGTGAGCACATGTATACACACACACACACACACACACACACACACACACACAATAATAATAAATAATAATAAAGCTCCCCCTACAGAGTAACAAAAATAAGAAATTTAACTCCCTAACCTACCCCTCTTTTTAAGCAAAAAGCCTTTTTTATTGGAGGCCAGCCTGGTCTACAGAGTGAGTTCCAGGACAGGCTCCAAAGCTACAGAGGAACCCTGTCTCAAAAAGAACAAAAACAAAATCCCAGTAACATTATAATTGTCTTGACTTTGGAACTTGAGAGATACCAGTTTGGTGTCACAGAAGGGTCTGAGATAGATTGTATCAAACCCTCTGAAGCTAAAATGGTACCAAAAGCTGTGCTCTTCCTAACCAACTGTAGAAGGGGCTTCCTCCACTGTGTGTTGGGACCCCATCCTCAGACCTCCTGAGATGCCCCAGACATAGTCCCAGGCCCAGCAAGGCTTCTTAACTGGAGACCACTTTCAACCACCAGAGGACGAGGCAGATGAAAAGAAGTGGAGACCGGAGCTTCCCGTTCATATCCATCACCAGAGGGCCCGGTAGCGGTGACAAATAACACACATGCTTAATGGCCAGCATCTTTCTTTCTTTCTAGGTGACTATAAAGGTGCAATGGAAACCAGAGAATCTGTTCTGGGATCTGGGAGTGAAGTGAACAAAGCACCATGCTTTTTTGTTGTTGTTGTTGTTGTTGTTTGTTGTTGTTGTTTTTTGTTTTGGATCATGACTAGATTGAGTGCTATTGCCTGAAAGGATAAAGGAATCAAGTTTTAGTTTTCATTTTTATCATTGCAAATACATTTACATTCCCGTTTTTTACAAATGCAAAGAGCAGGCAGGCCACTTTCAATAATTTATTTTAAAATCAATGCTAATGAGGTTATGTCTCGTCAGTGGCCGAGTTTTACAATAAAGTCTGATTTATTTAGAAAAGATCTTTGGTGTAGCTTCCCATCTAATGGCGGTGGGAAGGAGGTGGAGTAGCAGGCATGGTGACCCTCCAACTTCAGATCCAATTTGTAATTCACAGCGGAGATCTGACCCAATTTACATTGATTAGCATTGGGAGGAAGAGACAGCTGTGCACGGACAGCAGAGGTAGGAGAAACGCTCTCTGCAAAAGTGCTTAAGCGCAGCACATTATTGGTCCTTGTGATTGAGTTGTTTGATACCAGGAAAAGAGCTGCTTGCTGTCCAAATTATTGGGCATCTTTACAAGGAGGATGCACCAACTCACCCTCTTAATATTGTCAATCCTATAAAATTGGCCCCACCACAAAAAAAGGGAAAGCATCGTAGCACAAGAGGGGAGGAAGGGGACAGTAGTGAGAAGACTGTGAAAAGAATGTGTTTAGTATGATTTATCTATGCGTGCCCTGGTTCCGACATTTGATCTCATTCCCCCATTACCTTACATCTTTGTACCTCAAGGTAGGGTTGGGAAGCACTAGAGATGGGAAGGGGAGAAAGTCCCCGCTGCTGGACCTTAGGCAGTCATAAGAATCCTTCAGAGGGCCGAAGAGATGGCTCAGCAGTTAAGAGCACTGGTTGCTTTTCCAGAGGACCAGGGTTCAATTCCCAGAACCCACATGGCAGTTCACAAATACCTATAACTCCAGTCCAAGGGGATCAAACATCCTCTTCTATGGGCACCAGGCACACGTGTGGTACGCATACATATATATAGGTGAAATATTCATGCACATAAAATAATAAAATATTTTTTTTAAATTCCTTTAAAGTGCTCCTTTTCCATGGGATGTAGGGCAAGTGTGTGTGTGTGTCTGTCTGTCTGTCTGTCTGTCGTCTGTCTGCCTGAGTGTTCTGTGTAAGAGAAAAGGAGAAGAGGGGATAGCTAGTGAAAAGGGTAGTGAACCTATTTCTGCCCTATATATATGGATATATACATTTTAACTCTGTATTACAAAGTAGGATTATTAAACGTTACCCTAATACACATACTTTCTTAATAAAGGCCCAGTTCCTATTATGTCAAGTAGTACAAAGCTTGAGATGAAACAGGTTAATGAGGGTAAGAAACTTGGGCCAATCACATTGTGACTTTGGCCATATAAACACTTGACTGGAGTTAGACACTAGCATTGACTTAGAACCCATTGTGAATCCACAGCAATTAATTAAAAGACCATTCCATCTGCCCTCAGGAGCCTATACTCTAATGAACAAGGCAGGCTAAATAAAACAGTAAAAAGATAACTACAGGCCTCAAGTACTAGGAACATAAAACTACGTACATGACCAGCCTCCGATACAGCTGAACAAAAATGGATATGTTAAGGACTAATTAATCACAGAAGGTTTAAAACTCACTAACACACACACACACACACACACACACACACACACACACACACACTCTCTCTCTCTCTCTCTCTCTCTCTCTCTCTCTCTCTCTCTCTCTCTCTCTCTCCTCTAACTCTGGAGTAACTAAAGCCAAAGAAGATGTCTGCATACCGATAATAAATACAAGTACGAATTCTACAAAGAAAGGAGAAATGAGCATTGAGGGAAATAATTGGTCTAATGATAAGCCCCTTGGTGATTCAATGGGTTGGAAGCTCCACCAAGGCAGGAACTTTGGTGTGTCTGTTGTGTGTACCCTGTGCCTAGTGCAGCCTCTCGTACATAGCGCATACTTCAGAATGTTTGGAAACAAATAGAAAAGGAAGAAGAGGATCGCCCATCTGAAGGCGAGAGATGACTGAGGAGGGGGAAAAAGAAGAAAACATGCTAATGAAACTTCCTTTAGAGGGTAGCGCTCCCTGACTAGACATAACAACACATGCCTGTAATCCCAGCTCTTGAGAGGCTAAGGTCGGGAGATCATGAGTTCAAAGCCACCCTGGGCCCTTCGTGGAAATACAAGAAAGGGGAACAGGTCAATGAACTCAGAGAAAGGTGACCCCTCGAAAGAAAGAGCATTGGACTGAACCCCCACATTGATGGCTAATGCTAATCATTTGTCCCCCCAGATGAAGACCTTGAATTAGAAGAGGATGCACATGGTACTCACCGACGGCCAGGTATAGACATGGTTGCACACCTCTGGGAGGAACAATGGGGCTTCTAGCTTGAGAAAGCACTACCGTTACTGCTCTCTCTAATGAATAAAGTCCTGGTGCATGACCCCCAAAGCCTCAAATAGAGTGACTGGATAGAGAAGTGCCTTAACTTTAAAAGCAGACACCCAATCACTTTAATCGATGTCCTAGCACAGCCAAGATTTGTCTTCAGAAGGTGGGAAGCCAAACCAGATATTTATTTTTTCCTATCAGTATTTCTTAAGTCAGTGCAGTGAGTGAAAATAGAATTGCCTCATCTCTAAGAGATCAGAGGATTGAGAATGGGAAGAATGGAAATGTCTTCTCCCTGAGAGGCCCGGAGATTGCAAGTTCAGAGGGGAATGGAAATGTGTCAGATCTGAAAAGTGAAGCTGGGGTGAAGGATGGAACGACTGGGGGATGCTGACTTCCGAGGGGCTGGTTTGATTCCAAGCACATTTGGAAATGAATATGTAACAGGTTTGTTGGATACAAAATTACATCTTATTCATCCCAGACTGTTAGCCATGCTTCAGGCTGTTAGGGAGCCCATCCTTCCTAAGGTCAGACGCCCTCAGAGTCTCCTTAAGTGGACCAAGGACTTACTTCTTCATTGTCAGTGAAGCAATGTTGCACATTGTTTGGGCCACTGCAAGGACATTCATTCCATCAGCAGAACTGGATTCAGGACTGACTTAGATAGGAGAAGATTTTTTTTTCACCCTTAGGATCTATGAAACCCTTGAGCTTAGGAGTTCTTGCTCCATTTCCCTCCAGGCTCTCTCTTGGTTTCTCTGGGCTTTTTTTGCATTCTCCTCTTGCCTCCTCTCCTTTCCTTCTCATTCATAGTCATTTAGCAAAGTCTCTTTTCTCTTCAATCTTTGCGGGAAATAAATTTGTGTGTGTGCTTGCGTGCGTGTGTGTAGGTCAGAGGAACCGGTGTTGGACCTGACCTTCCACTCTGTCTGACATAGGCAGGATCTCTTTGTTGTTTTCCCACTACACTGGTCTCCTGGCCTGCTGGCCCATGACCCAGAATTCTTTAGTCTCTAGTCTCCCATCTTGCCATGGAAGCACTGGGGTTACAGAATGCATAACCTTGCCTAACTTTTAAATGGACTCTAGTGACTAAAACCTACATCTTCCTGCTACACTGGACAAGTGCTTTTCCCCACTGAGCCATCTTCCCCACCCCTACAGGAAGTGACAATTAAAGGGTTAGAGAAGGACTCAGGTTGGCAAAGCTCCAGTTTCTCTCAGGGAAGAGGAAAGACAGTCAGTGGCATCAGAGGTTGTGCTACCAAAGCAGGAGGGAAAGCAGGTGGGATGCGTAAGCTTTAAGGATGTTAGGGTGCTTCAGACACGTGGAAGTAAGTCCTCTGAGACCTAATTTCCGAAGTTTTGTTGTGATCCTTAACCTTTAATGGCTGAGCTATCTCTCCAGTCCTGAAACCTAATTTCTATCATTTTCTACGTGCTATACAGAATTCCAACAGAAAATCTGTTCTGACTAAGTATGTCCCAAATAAGGCTCTTCCCAACCAACTTCCATCACCAGCGCAGGAAGATATACCTACATAGATACCTCGGGTGGGATAACTGGAAGCTTCCGAGGGTCAACTCCAGTCAGGAAGTTGTATTAAACTCCAGTCAGGAAGTGTCCGTCCCACAAAGTCTAGCATTCCCCTCCCAGACGCCTCCTTCCCCTCATTCTCTCTCTCTCTCTCTCTCTCTCTCTCTCTCTCTCTCTCTCTCTCCCTCTCTCCCCCTCCCTCCCTCCCTCCCTCCCTCCTTTTCTCCCTCCCTCCTTTCCTTCTTCCCTCAGGTTCTATCTGGGAGGAGATTTATTTTTGAACTATCCAACAGGTATAATTCAAGTAGGAATTTTTTTTTAAGACGTCCTTTGTTCTCCATACTTCCTGCCTCCCAAATAGGTGTCGTTAACATAAGGCTAGCTCTAAATATGTTTCTGTGGCTTGTACTTCCCACCAGTTATAATGATTGGTGACTTGGTGATTAAAAAACAGGAGGACTTTTCGCTCTGTCTGCAGAATCTGAGGCAGGGATTTTTATTATTTGTGTTTACTTATTTATTTATTGAATTTATATAGTGCCTTTTCTCCAACGAAGCTGTAGAAACTACAACACATATGTAACTTCCCACTGTCATCCCTTAGTTTTATAACAACAAAATATAGAGATCTGGGGGAAGGGCCAACAGCCTCGCTGAAGGCATTGGAAAGGCTGGGACAGAGTAAATTCTTAGGTAGGTCATAGATCAGCTATGTATGTTTGCTTCTTTTAGCTTTTCTCAGGTGTCTGGGAGGGAAAGGCTTTAAGCAAACTGCCCTGACCCCACTGCCTGCCTTTCCCTCTCAGGTGTTGTGGCAAAATCTGGCATCAGAGGACTTTTCTCCTCTACCCCACAGACCCTGTAGCTTGATGCTACACTTCCCTCTGACAGAACTGCTAACATTTTTAAAGCCCAACTCCAGATCTTATCCGAAGAGGGAGGGAGGAACGGAATTCAGTTTATCCTTATTGAGTGCTAATGACCCTGTAAGATGCAATTTCTTTTATTTTATTCTGTTACCTAGAAAATCTATCATGGCCTTGTAGTATTGATTGCTCAATCTATAAAGAGCTCGCTTTACAGCACGACTGTTAGTAACAGGGTTACTTTAATGAGTGACTCTTCAACACCTCAGATTTGCTCTACACTCCAGCCTGGCACGTCCCATGGTGGATCTAACTCTAAAGGCCTTTAATAGTGAGATCATAGTTTCCTGCCTCGCTGTGAGAAGGTAACTTCTGGGTAGCCCAAAGCAAGGCTCACTCTGGGCTGTTTGTATAAAGTTTTCCTTTGCTTGGGTGTGCCATGCTGTGGAAATACAAGTCATCCTTAGATACATCAAGTCCCTCCCCAAGGAAGACCTTGGAATGGGCTCTCCTCTTTCTATCTGTCTCTGTCTTTCTCTCTTTATGCTTGGGTGTGCCATGCTGTGGAAATACAAGTCATCCTTAGATACATCAAGTCCCTCCCCAAGGAAGACCTTGGAATGGGCTCTCCTCTTTCTATCTGTCTCTGTCTTTCTCTCTTTATGTCTCTCTCTCCCTATTTCTTCTGTCTTTCTGTTTGTCTCTGTGTATCTCTCTCTGTCTCTACCTTTATCTCTCTCCCTGTCTCTGTCTCTCTCTGTCTCTCTTTCTGTCTGTTTCTTTCTGTGTGTCTCTCTCTGTTTGTCTCTCTGTCTCTCTCATCTGTGTGTGTGTGTGTGTGTGTGTGTGTCTGTCTGTCTGTCTGTCTGTCTATCTCTTTCTCTCTCTCCAATTGTGGGCAAACCAAGTATAGTCTTGCAGTCATCCAGTCATCTCAGAAGAGCAAGAAAGTGGTTACTCATGAGCTTTCCGTCCTGGAGACCCTCTGAAGGCCCACTGTGGTGCCCGCCGACAGAGAACTCCTACACCAAAGAAATGGAGGGTACACAGGCTCCTGTGGCTTTTACCCTTCCGTTTTCCACAGTCAACCATGAGTTGAGCATGACCCAGCTAAAATTTTGGCCCAATAAAAGGAACAGATGAGATGAGAACCAGGATCTTTGATTTTTTTCCCCCTATATGAATCACACTTGCAAAATTAAGGGGCATAGTAATTTCATTATTCAAGACGAAATGGGATTGAACATAGCAAACAGTATTTAAAATGAACAAAGCATACTCGTCCTGCCCTGGTGCCACAGTGGGTGGCGCCTGGCGAGTTTTTTTCATACTTCTGAAATTATTAGTAAAGTAGCAGTGGATGTCCACTTTGAGTGTACTAAAGATGGTGGCCCTTCCTGGCTTGGCTTTAACTAGAGCATTTCAAAACACTGTTTACAGAGTTTTGGTCCAGCCCTCACTGGACCCTACTCCGGTAGGTTTGTTTTCAATGTTTTTGTCTCTGGTGTTCCCAATTTAAACAGCTGTGCCTAATGCCAGGCCTCACTGACACATTACATTCATCAAGAAAATGTAAACAGCACACTGACCCTCGTTTAGCCTCCTTTCTCTGGTGTCAGCTTGAACTCTGAAGCTACCCAATGTCCTAACAGTTAAACTCTGGGAGGACAGTCAGCTTCTGTTGTTCCTGAAGAAAAGGAAAGCTAGACAGATAGATGTCCTCGTCCTTTGCCTAGGTGTTTCCATTGACTCTGTCACCAGGATCGCCAGCCTGGACTCCATCAGAGGAGAAATGCCTATCACCACTCACAAAAAGCCTGGTGTGGCATGACAAACAATTTGTAATAACCACCTGGAAAAGAGAAAAACAATTCTAGGTCAGCTCTCTCTTTGTGACATTTTGTTCACTTGAAGCTTGGCCTCCCCTGCATGGGATTAGAAAGAAGAAGACACTCCCTGCCCACCCCCATTTTCTCTAGAAAACTCCTCGCTCTGCTGGCAATTTAACTGCAGTGATCATAGCCATTAGCTTCCTATCTTTGTAATTGTTGTTAATTGTTATAACTGTTTTAGTTATTAGTGTTGTCATGATTGCTCTAGGTCCTCTGTCTGTTTTATGCTGAATATATTAGAGCTTTTGCTTTTGAATTACCAGGCTTTATTTAGTGCAGAGTTACTTTTTTTTTGAGAGAGAGAGAGGGGGGAGAGACATTGAGAAATGCTGGCATTAAGCTTTATTCTTTTGTTTTTCATTCCAAATGGACAGACTGGAAAAAAAATAATTAGATGGGATAATGTCCTCAAAATGAGAATGAGGATTTTTGAATTAATTAACTGGTCAGGAGATTGCACCATTTCTGACTTAGGCTGTTGCCGGTGTGGTGGAAACCTAACTGAGCCAGAAAGCCAGCCACAGAGGCAAGCCTAAGTCCTTTTACTGCCCTTCAGAAACCAGTATCTGCTCTCATTTCCTTTGAGGATGAGCAAGCCTGGTTCAGGGCAGAGTGAACTCGCCCTTTGGACTTGCAGACCTTCAGGCCCTTCCTGGGGCCGAGCTTCAAGAATGAAGTCTTGCTCAGCCTCAAAACTTGAAGGTGTTTCTGCAACACTTGGCAGGTCAGGTTTTTTGTGGAGAGCTGAAGCTTCAAAGAAACCTTCCTGGATCCCTAAGACTCTGCTGAGTTCCCTCTTACACAGAACATCCTCAACCTCTTTAGGGTCCTGAGTACTGGGATAGTAACTCTGGTCCCCAGCACCTCCCCCAGTAGAGGGTAGCAGGGACTGTGCATTGCCAGTGTGGAATTCCCAGTATCTAGCCGGGTCCATGGTCAAGTGCTGTGCACAGGCCTGATGGATGCTAAACAATGAATTCATGACATTGCCTATACACAAATACATAAATATGAATCACACCAGTTAAACAAGGATCTTGCAATATGGGGTCCAACCTTATGCAACTAAAGAATGACTCCCCCTTTGACCTCCTTAATACCAACATACCTCTGCCTAGATAGTCAGACAGTACTATCTGTCTAGATAGTAGGTTGAATATGTTTCCCGGTTTCAACCCTATGATTCTGATTACTTTTCAGAGCTGCAGTCATTATCCTTAGTCTTAGGCTCGGCTGTCTCCTGGGTTCCTGAACACCAAAGGCCTTTCTGTATTCTTTGTGTCTTAGAAAGCTCATGTCATTGCCTCTATAGTTAATTGAACTGTCTCCCTGTGTTTTGAGACACGGTCTCTCTCACTCTATAGCCCAGGCTAGTCTTGAACTCACCTTTGTAGCCCAGGCTGGCCTCAAACTCCTGCCTTGGCTTTCTGATTTCAGGTCTGATAGGTGTGAATGAGTGTGCCTGCTTTTTACTGTGCTCATACTTTAAATCATTCCCCAGGTATTCTCTTCCACTATTGTCAAATCTTGGTAGGAAACTCATATACACCCAAAAGGTACCTTAGGGCTGTCTCATACCCAAGCACACTGTGGGGAGCAGAAACTCAAAGTGGCTATGCATCAGGCCAGAGAATGCCAAGATCGCTCCATCAGCTTCCTACCATTCATACATAGATAAATTGGGTTTTTTAAATCTGTTTTTAAAAAAACTGTTTGCTCTGCCATCTACAGATCCACAAATAATATTGATGTCAATTGGCTTCTCATTTCCTAGACTTATTCAAACTCTGGGGGTGATTTATAATCTCCCTTACAACTGAGAATGTATAACATATCCTCTGGGGAAACTGTCATTGCTTTTCAAGGTTGATATTTCTCTATCATTTCATGCACTGATGTCCCCAAAAATATATGATTTCTCTTTTCAACAGTTAGTATTTTTCTCCCAATGTATTTTTCTTCCCAACATATTCTTAAGTCGATGGCAGAAGGTTTTCTTGGCGGTTATTTTGTTTGCTGCCCTCTATTGTCTATTGAGGAGACAAACATGCCTCTGTGTAAAGAAACACGTCCCGGTCTCTATGGTTGACATTTTTATTTCTGTTTGCAATCTGCTCTGACCTAAATGAGTCCGTCTCTCCTCTGCTTTTGTGTGCTTTAAGATGCCTAATAAGAGTCTTTTACAAAGACATACAGGGATTCGTTCCACTGTGCCTCTGTTATTTGAATTATTCATAAGTTAGGGACAAATTGTGGGGGAAAGCAAGTACAGCCAGGTCCTCTGTGCCCCACTGACCATTTGCTCCCCATCTGTCCTCACCATGAGCAGCCTTAGAACCATCCTTGCTCGAAAGAGGGTCCAAACAAATTCAGCGTAGGTAGGAACTGGTGAGATAGAGTCCCCAAAAATCACACCAGTTTTTTTTTTTTTTCATTTTGTTTTTCAAGACAAGAGTCTCACAGTGTAACCCAGGCTGGCTGGGAATTCATGATCCTCCTGCATTACCCTCCCAAGTGCTGGGATTTCGGACATGTACCAGCTAAAAAACACATAGATTTTTAACTACACACAGGACTCCTGAATCCCGTCAATCAGATTTCACCTTTGGCAGGTGCTAGGCTCACAGCTCTCATATGAAACATTCTAAGAAACACAGAGCATCCCTGGTCCAGTGGGCATTAGCTCTCCTGCCATTCAAATCCCCAGATGTTCTCCCACTTTGTACGCTAGTGTTTAACCTTTCCGGGTAGAAGAGGATCAATACAAATTCTTCATTGTTAAGAATCGATGGCTATCCTGTGGCATCATTGCCATCTAGTCTCGCTGAGAAGCCCAGTAAATCTCTTCAGTGCTTCTAAAGCTTGGTTTGTTGTCTTCAGTTGCTTTCATTTTTAATGCAGATCACTTTGGTTTCTGTTCCCTGGGGGCTTGCAGATAAATCTTGGCAGACATGTTCAGGGTCTACAAATGAGATGCTGGAAAAGGGCCAGCCCACCCAGAATTTAGTTGTAATGGATGAGACACCCCCATGGCTCCACTTAAAGACTAAGCTATTCGTTTCAGTAGTTATTGGTGACTACCTCGTGAAGTACCTGGGTGGGAAGTGCCTGGGATGAAGCCCCAGTATAACAGAGGAGGCCAAAGTGTGAGCCATGATGCAGAAGAAGGCTGGCTGACTCAGCCTCTCTTGTAGATAGGCTGAAGGATATGCTCCTTCAAATGCATAAAAAAGAGACATACTCGGGTATTTAGATGCCCTGGACCAAGAAAGTCTACTGGGAAACATCTTTGTACCACTTGTTTGCAAACCAACTGAGAAATTATGTGCCTGGTTTTCTTCTATTAATACATCTATTACCATATTGTTGAGTAGAATTTCCTACTAGGGGTGATCTGTAAATATTTTATGTGAGTTAATGATCTCTCCCTCCCATAATCCTTTGCTTATATTGAGGGTCATCTGGAGCCCCCTAAATCTTAAGTTTCCTAGAGGCTATATCAGAACCCTGGTTTCCATTTGCAGCAAAACTGACTCCTTTTATCTTTGTTTTTTCTTCTCTTTGATCAGTGGACTATGCCAGTTATTACCAGGGCCTATGGGATTGCCATGGTGACCAGCCAGATGAACTGTCCTTCCAACGAGGTGACCTCATCCGAATTCTGAGCAAGGTAAAGAAGACATGGAATATAGGGCTTGAGCCCATGTTTTACTCCTGTTAGTACAGTTATCGTAATCAGAGCAATCACATGCTGTAACTCGTCTCTCTGTATATTACATGGCTCTTCTTACACACAGTTCAAAATTCCCTTTAAGGTATAATTGTTTTTTTTAATTAAAATTTCAGGCTCAGGAATCACTTTTTCACATTTAAAAATACAATAAAGCAAATTTAAATATAAATATATATATATAATGAAGTAGATGCAATACTAAAATTATGCCAATCAAAATTTGATGTTTTCTAAGGATTTATGATACACAAAGGTCACAACCATGTACATAATTTATTACTTTGTAATACTATTGAAAACATTCTGGCTAGGTAAACTAGCTTCTTATTTCATTTATAGATAAATGAGATGATAATATAATTACCTGTGGGAGGAGGAGTCAGAACCAGTTAGCTCAATTGGTTTGAGCCCGTGCTGATAAGACCAACCTACTGAATCCAATCCCACACAGCCCAGCTAACTTTATTCCCTTCCTCAGGCATAAGTTAACCCCTGCACACAGCCGACACACACTATTGTTGGTCATAAAGCAACAGGGTTTTTCTTTTTTTTCTCAAGACAGGATTTCTCTGTAGTTTTGGAACCTGTCCTGGAACTTGCTCTGCAGACCAAGCTGGCCTCGAACACACAGAAACAGGACTTTTTTTTGGGGGGGGGGGGATGTATTATTGCCTCTCATAATGAGAAGAATCGTCTGGAGTCGTAGGCAGGGAACGATTTGTCATCATCCTCATTTTCAGGAAACAAAAAAGACCACACACATTATACAGCCAGACGAAGACAGCATGTTCTGTTCCTAAGAGAATTTATCATAAAGACCTCTCTCTATGTATCCCATCCCTATCTACAAACATTGAAGTGGGCATAATTTGCTCTCTATGGACTCTGTGGGGGGAAAAGGGAAACCCTGTGGTGTTATTAACACCACATTTGCTGTTTCTCTTTATTCTATGTCTGGTACTACTTACACCAAGGATCTGACTGTGCTTAAAATATGCTATAAGCTCCTTTAGAACAGAACAAGGGGTGGACAAAATGGCTCAGTGGGTAAAGGCAATTTTTGCCAAGGCCAAAGACCTGAGTTCAATCTCAGAGATATGATGAAAGGAGAGAACTGATTCAAAGTTGTCCTCTGACCTCCACAGGTACATTGTGACATACACAATAAACAAACAAACAAACAGGGGTTGCAATGATGGCTCAGCAGTTAAGAGCACTGGCTGTTCTTCCAGAGGTCCTGAGTTCAATTCCCAGCAACCACATGGTGGCTCACAACCATCCGTAATGAGATCTGGTGCCCTCTTCTGGCCTGCAGACATACATGCAGGCAGAACACTGTATACATAATAAATAACTCTTCAAAAATAAATCAGTAAATAAATAGAATTTAATAAAAAGGAACAGACCAAGTCTGACTCCAGGTGTCTTCCAGTGATTCCAATGAATTAGGCCCCTTTAAGCTTGAACTAGGCAGGCAGTGGTGGTGCACACCTTTAATCCCAGCATTTGGGAGGCAGAGGTAAGTGGATCTCTGTGAGTTCAAGGCCAGCCTGGTCTATAGATCAAGTTTCAAGATATCCAGCGCTGTTTACAGAGAGAAACCCTGTCTGGAGGTGGGCATGGACTAAATTCAGACTTAGCCCTTTGCAGGAAGGCAAGACCTTTGCAGGCCCTGCTGGGTAAGATCACAATGTTCTCATGATTTCTCCTGCCGCTCTAGCTCAGCACCACCCTACTACAATTTCAGTGCAGCTCCAATACACCAAGAATAAATTGGAAGCAAAGAAGGGAGTGGACATTGGCCTGATTGGTATTTCAAATGCCCGAAAGCAAGGTTTGCCGTGTAATAGAATTTGTGTACATTACCGTGCTGGCATTACGGGGTAATCGAGTTATCCACTCAGGTGTGACCAGGCCTCTGTTTGCCCAGAGCCTGCAGGTGAACAAATTAACTGTTTACATTGTCTGGAGGTGCCTGCAGCAGGAGGGGGGAGTGCAGAGCCAGGCTGGAGGCTGGCCTTCTCTCTCTGTCATGATTATTTTGTTTGTTTTACATGTCTTTTGCCTTTGTTAATGGCGTCTCACTGGGGGTCCCGTTCCTCCAGTTAGATCTAAGGGGCTGTGCAGTGACCTGTCCTGCAATATAGAGTGGTGTGCGGTTACCATGACTGTGGTATTTCTATGAGATGCCTAAGAACCTTAGTTAGACTGGTCTTTTAAAATCAGCCTCTGTTCCCCCCCCTCCAGGACTACAATCTAATGCGTCAGACTAATTCGGTGAAAATGCCTCGCTGCCTTAATTCTATCAGCGTCTTTCTCCACTGTTCCGGAAGGTTCTAAGTCCATTAGTATTTCTGTTCCCTAAGCTGTACCAGGTGCCTCCCTTCCTCATGTTGCTAATCCCGGCAGATCAGAGGAGGAAATGAGAAGGTAGTAGTTCAAGGAACGTTCCTTTACGAAGCTGCATTCCGGTTTAACATGGGCTTGGGGAGCATCTGGGATTGGATTTGCCTTGATTCTATTACCTAACTCAATCAGAGCCCTTGGACAGGAAAGAACCTTGAAAGACCTCCCATCCTATTTGCTTGTCTCTAAAAAAGCACAAACAAACCAATTCATGCAGATAGGAGATGCCAATACCATCCAGAAGTTCTGCCATTCCCTGCTCTCCAGAACTGTTTCTTATATTCATCCCATTTCAGCCCCAGCTGGCTTCCTTTGCTGGAACTGGCCTACCTCTATACCTGGAGCAAGAGAACAAAATAACCCACTTTGAGTTTAGTCCAAGAAAATGATGTCTGGAGAACTACATATCTCTTTACTCCAAAGGCCAGTACAGTAGCACCTCTCTGTCTCCAGCCTAGCCCAGCAGATGTCAGTTTCCCTGAGAAATGTATGGCACAGCTAGCTACACGGCTCAGCTCACCTGCTTGTTTCCTCACATGTAAAATAAGGGAGTCATTTCTCCCACCCTGGATATTCCCGTTACAAGCACAGTGGGCTTGATATCGTGAAGCCACACAAGAAATCCCACGCAGAACTCTGTCTTAGCTTTAATTACTTGCTCCATTTAAACAGCAAACACTCCAACTACCATCTGTTTTGTCTTCACCCCCTAGGTACAACTGGTTTACCCTTCTCTAGGTAAAACTTATGGTGCTAAGGATCAAATCCAGGGCCTTATGCATGCTGGCCCTGGATAGTCCACTACCAAGCTAAATCCATGGCCCTTTATTAAAGAAATACTGTGCTGAAATGTGATGACATGCTCTCTTAGTCCCAGCACTCGGAAAGCAAAGACAGGCAAATCTGTGAGTTTAAGGCCAGCCTAGTCTACATTTTAAGTTCCAGGGCAGCCAGGGCTACATAATAAGGAGACCCTGTCTCAGAAAATATAGGAGGCAGAGGAAAGGCTCTGCAGAGAGTATCTGGAGGAAGGAGACTCGGGGTCAGGAAAGGGAACGAGCAGACAGGAGCAGAAAGATGTCCGTTTTTAGCCCTGGGCTCCTGCTGCTCTCTGCTGGGTTTGGGGGATTTGTTTGTTTGTTTGTTTGTTTGTTTAGTATGCACTGGTGTTTTGCCTGTATGTATGTGTGTCTGTGCCCCCAGAGACCTGAAGAGGGCTTTGGGTTCTCTGGAACTGGAGTTACAGATGGTTGTGGATCCAGGGAATTGAACCTGGAACAGTAGCCAGGGCTCTGAATCATTGACCCATCTCTCTGGCCCTGTAATACTAGATAGATAGATAGATAGATAGATAGATAGATAGATAGATAGTTTGTTCATAGATGATAGATGAGTGCCATGTATATACCATATATACACCAGATGCCTACATCTATCCTGTTCTTAGGCAGGTTATTTATGAGACCTTGGAAAAAGTCACTTAAACTTTCAGGCTTTAGTGTCCCTATGTGTAAAAATCCAGGTAGTTTCTGTTCATAAGGTTATGATCAGAGAATTTATGCGAAGAAGTATGCAGCTCTTAATAAATGACAACTCCTATGTTCTCTCCATCTACTAACACTACACTAAAACCACCCAATGGTGTTGGGCATTTACTATGAGTTCAATATATTATTGGTAAGGTAAGAGCAAAATGCGGGCCAGCAAGATGGTTCAGTGTGTAAAGACGTGCCAAGCATGCCACTTGAGTTTCATTCCTGGGACCCACATGGCAGAAAGAAAGAACCAGCTCTGCATACACAAACACAAGCTGTGACACTCACTTGCACACACAGATAAATAAATTTAGTTCTATTTTTTTTTAAAAGAAAAAGGTGATTCATATAGCAGGCATTCCTCAGAGGCCTCAACCATCAGTTGAGGCACTTGGTTAAGAACACAATCCACTGAGGAGGCCTACATGGAAATCCACCATGTCTCTTGTGCTTTAGAAATCTCATCACTGACACCAGAAAGAGCCTCCCAACTTCTCTTCCAGAAGAGAGCAGAGCCATGTACCCCATCTCACAAGCAGTAACAAGGACACCGTCAGCAGAAAGGCCCTCCTGCTGACCGAAGCTCTGCACATCCAAACATTCCCAGGACCCATGCAGCTTCATGCCCACTTAACTCACTGACTTCCAGTTGGAGTCTTAAAATATATTAGAGGAAGATTTTAATAACGAAGCGGATGTGAACATCCGGCGGATGCTCCTGCACCCCTTTTGGGCCCAGACATTTCTGAACGGCTTTTTCTAGTAAAAGCGTCCCTTCCTCCCTGCCCCCAGCCACCCACGAGCCGGGACACAACTCAAGCCACAGCAGGGTGTTTAGCGCTCTTCAGTGGCTCCAGATTGTGGCGCTGGTGCGGGTCTCCTCAGACGTAACGGATCACTCCTGAGAGCCTGCCTCTCGTAAATTACTTCCCACGATGCCAGCGACCACCGCAGAATTCGAGTTTGAATAGAGCAGGGAAAAGGTGTTTGAGAGGC